TAGACAAAAGTAACAAAACTTCAATCATGCAAATATTTGATTTGAAAACTTTCTGACTTTTCAAGTTATTAAGAAAAATTATTATTCAAATTTACTAGAATCGCTGTAGAAAAGATTAACTTTTTTCAGCCATTAAACTTTTTTTAATAATAAAATCTTTCAGATTTGTATGATCAAAGAAATATATAGGTCAAAAATTGAACTTCAGTTCATCTCAATGGCTGAAGCAGTGCAACTGTTTTGTTGCTTTCGACAGGATGTTTGTTCTAACATTACAATGGAAGTAAAACGTTTTCAGAAGTAATCTCCTAGCCATATTTGTACTGTTTTTTAGTTTGTATTTAAAATTGTATTTGTTTTCCACTGCAATATTTATAAGTATTACAGCATGTTTTTAGATTATATATTTTGGAATATTTCGCAGCTCCAACAAAATTGTTTTACTTACATTTTTCTTTCAACTATTCAAGTTTAAAATGTGAGTATGTTGTTAAAAGTCTCTTGCAATTTAATAAGAAAATATTTAACAGATTTTTTGCAGATATTTTGAATCGGGAAAAGCGAGACAAATCAAAATATTAAGCGCAGAAGATTTTAAGCACATAAATGCATAAGCTTACAGGACATGACTAAGCTTGCTGGACATGACTAAGCTTGCTGGACATGACTTATAAGCGATACAACAATGTTTCTTCTTTTGTCCACGATATTTTGTTTTGTTTCACTATAGTTGTTGAATCCTTTTAATATTTGATCTAATAAACACGAAATTACAATTTGTACTTAGCAATCACATTTGGTTCTATCTGCTAGCAGCTTTGAAGCTTCACGACAACCATAATGTCCTGACAAAAAATTTACTAGTAATTGAAAATGCAACATTTAGAATAGTAAGAACAGAACCAATCTAGAAAAATGTAATAAATCCAACACTAGTACAGGAATATCACCTAGATACTGTTCTTAGATTTCTTTCTTTCGTTATTTCTTTTCCACTCAACAAATGCATGAGAATGATGTGTTCACCAGTGCACAGTTCACATAGGATTACGTTCACAAAACTTTTTGTCTATAAATGAATTCTTTCGCGTTATTTCTAAAAAGATTTGAAATCTGCAATTAATTAAGACAGCTATAATTTGTGATATAAACTTCAAATGCAAAAATTGGCTGCCTGAGCACTCTACAGAATTGTTGCAGCGACGTTTTGCTCTTCTCATCCGAATTTGGCATCACTGTCAAGTGTTTTAATGATTATTTTTCTTATAACCGTAAAAGTAAGAAGCATATGCCAGCTACTTTCATATTTTATTGGTACATAGAGAAAAATGATTCAGATGCATCATAAATTTGAAGCAAATCCTAAAATGACCAGTCAGCCGAACCACACTGAATGAGGACGAAGTTTGCGTTTCTGTAAGGTCGTGCGAGTGAAATTGCGACAGATTCAAAATGAGACAAAAATTATTAGCAACGAACTGTCTGTGGTATAGCAGAGAAGCTTATTTTGAAGAGGTAGCAGATATGCAAGGCGCAGTAGAATTTTTATCCTAAAAATCTTAGCTTCAACTAGTAGTGGTTGCACACATGTCGCATTTGTAAATGGCGTATGCGTACTGTTTGACGCTTGGTATTGACTGAGCCGAACTTCTTTTACAACTATGGAATAATCTATGTATTTTTTAATTTCTGAATACTAGACAGTAAAATTTGCTGGTATTTTTGCGTAATCAACTATGCAATAATTTTTTTTTGCGTAAGGGTGTTTGATGATACTTGTTATTTCAGAAGAATATATGATTTTGTTTCAGATACGGCAAATCCAGCAGTTGTCGACATTTCGGCAGTGCTAAGATATTAGGAGAGCCATCAGGTAATGCACCAGGCTATCCTACAATATGCAGCTGGCGTTACCGAGGTAATCAGTAAATTATTGCATAGTTTGATTTCTAAACTTTTATTGTTGTGTTTCATTTTTATTTTTTGTAACTGGATGAAGGAAAAGTGCAAAAGCTGTTTTGATAGATTTGTAAAGATTCTATGAAGGAATTGAAAAATTTTTGAACATATTAGTTATTAGGATAATTTCAGCGAATAGACGAGCTCAGCCAGCGGCTCAGTGAGGCCAGTGAGTGGCACTCAACTTGAGAAGCCACCCGTGATGATGGCGAACATGAAGGGTTGAGGAAGAGCAAGGCCAGGCACCATAGAAGCCGGTGATTAATGAGGAAGAGACGGCATGAGCTCCACTTCCTGAAGATGGAATGACTTGATGTCATCTCAGGAATGGGCAACTTTAGCCGAACGAGGCAACTTCAACAGAAGTAAATGGAAATAAAGGAGGAACGTGGATGAAAAAGCTAGTATTGTAAGTTTTTTTTCCTGGAAATAGATTTCGACAACATTTGCATCCATCACAGAAGTAAATATTTTCAATTTGCAGAAAAATAACACCATCTGCGTCCTCCCGAAAGATGCGAATCAGTGCAGCCTCTCAAACATTTTGGGCTGCATACGTTAAAGTTCTGCTGCACCATTTTAGAAAAAACTGGTGTAATCTTCAACAGTGCCCACGATAAAGTAATTTATTTTATTATTAAAAACTTTCGGAAATTTCAACTGTCCTTAAAGTTTGTCGCAAATACTGAAAACGACTAATATTTCAGTTTGCTTGTATATATGAGCGCCGCTTTAGTACGTTTAAAGGATTGTACGCATGCTTCAAGGGTGCACAAGATAAACGGTATTTTTCTTACATTGTTTATTTGTAAATCATATGTTTTTTTTTTGTAGAAAAGTTTTTAAACATTGTTATATTTCATTGATGCATAGTTTTTCAGGCTTTTGTTCAATTTTTGACCATTATTTGGTTTTGGTTTTGCCGTCAACATTTAATGCATCCCAGAAGGAAGCAGCGATAGAGCTTCCGTGTCCTCAACTGGTGCTAGCGGGTACGAGCGCCTATCATGAACGAGAAAGAAAAAGTAAGTGGCGCCGATTGGACCTCGCAGACAGGAATGAATACGCAAGGCAGCTACTGATCCCGAGTCGGATAATAAAATAGTAGTACTATTTTGGATGATATTTCTGTTTTGAATGTTTGGAATGTCGTTTAGTTGTTTTCACTGTGATCAGATTGTAATCCACTCTTTTATAAGCTTTTGTATGTTCCCAAGCATCAATACTGTCCAAGCTTTTGTTTGTTCCCAAGCATCATTACTGTGCAAGCTTTTGTATGTTTCCAAGCATCAATACTGTGCAAGCTTTTGTATGTTCCTAAGCATCATTGATGTGTGCAGACACTTTAATATTATTATAAAAGTATTTTAATAGAAAGATGTTATACGCATAGTATCAATAATGACGAAAAAGCATAAGAAAAGGTCAGAATTTCATGAGAGATAACTTATAGAGTTCAGGAGTATACCTTGGCAAGTATTCGAAAAGTGATACAAGCTGCAGGGACTAAAAAGTTGCGTAATTCAAATGAAATAGCTCAAACTTTTGTGTTTACAGTACACCTCCATTCTATCAAAGGCGAACTTGTCACGTTGGTAAAGATATCATCTGAGTTTAAAGAAATGGGTCATTGAAAGCGATGAATGATAAGATTGTTGAAAGGATTGAATTTGTTGGTTATGACTTCATTTCCACAAATGTGTTTATTCGCATAAAGCAACTAAATTGACTGCACTTCAATATGTGTATCAAGACATTTGCCTAGCTAATTTTATCGCAAAATTTGATTACACGTGACAATTAGTGGTTACAAAGCAAATCACGTCAGTGGAAACTATTATTTTAATTATCCAGCTATGTTAGCATAGCTAAAATTGATTTGATCTGTAGAAGTAAGAGTAGAATAGAATTAGCTCTGGGAATATAAGTAATTATTACTTCATCATTTCAAAAGTTTGTCAGTGAATTAAGTTTTGAAACTGAGCTAATAAACTTTTGGAAAATAAACTGTTAAAATACACAAAAAAATGAAAGTTTGTAAATGTCTGATAAGATTAAGTCAACAATTTGGTTATTTTTGTCCATCATAAAATCTGAGTTATAGAAAGATCAGTTGATCAACTAATGATCTTTCTCCTTAAAGAATAAATATTTGTTCGGTAAAATATTTTTGAAAGCATTTACTGCTGTTATCATTTTATGTGGCCTGAAATAAACAAGTTGTGTTGTCAATAATTAATTCAATATATGAAATATTTTATTCCTTAGTAATAAAATAAATTAAGAATAAGAAAACATGTAGGAAATAATGTATATAATAATCATGTATACGTAATCATGTTTATGGAAATCATGGTACCGTGTATCATGTATATAAATAATCATAGTATTTTACGAATATTATGATTTTCTTATCATGATATCATGTATAATATAATAATATTTTCTTTTACTAGCTGTATGTTTTTTGAACTCTGCCTATGTTGTAAACAATTTTGTGGCAAATATATAGAACTCTTAATGTAGTAAATAAAGTACTGGAAAATTTTATTGTCTACAAGTTTTAACTTTTTTTGATTGTAATTTAATAACTGAAAATTGCATGTTAAAATTGAATTTAGAAGACATTAGCTACAATATTTTTTGTAGTAAAATATTGCCAGAAAGCAGCACTGATTATCAGTAAGAAATCACTTTCGAGCTAATTCATTTTCAGTACACTCCTAGTTTGCGCAGTTTTTAGTAATTTAACAGCTTTAATTAAATTTCTTCTTATTTACAAAACAATATTTAAATACATTTTCTACTCTACAAGTACTTATAATTTTCACTGATATCTTGATGAGATTTAGGATTAGGTCAAATTTTTAAGGCATTTCAAAAAATTATGTTTTTATCATTCAAATTTATATTTATGCATATATTATAAATATATATCCTCAAAGCAAAATGTAGGAAATCATATAGTGCATATAAAAGATTGAAGTACAGCTAGAATAATTTGTTTAGCTGGAAGCTTATCTGTTAGGAGATAACTAAGTTTTTTCTGCTCAACACATTGTGCATTTAAAAGTACTTATTAAAATCTTCTAATAGTAAAAAAAACTTTAAAATTATAGCAGTTTTCGATTACATTTTTTAATTACAACAAATATCGTATGAAAATAGACCATATTTAGAAATGAGAAATTTGCATATTGCGATGAAAATTTAGCAATTAGCAATTAAGAATGTAATATGTGATCAGAGCTGCTACCTTTTATGAAGATATCTAAGCAGTAAATTTACATTAATGAATATATAAGGGTTTGTATTTGAAGAATATCGCTTACAATTTGATTAAATTAGGCATTCTCTTATCGTAATTCGAAAAATGATCGCAGAAATACTGTATTTGATATTGTTTTCAGCCATTTTGACAGGTACATTTTTGTCGTTTATAGCATAAATTTCAGTTAAATTGCATGCATTTATATTATTATTTTTAAGATGAATTTAATTGAAGGCTATTGATTTAATTGTGTAATATTTAAGTATATGATTTTACTAGATATTAATTAATTTTAATTTAATGAATTAGCCGAAAAATTATTTCTAATTTAGCTGCAAGCAATTTGCAATGTCAAGGAGGTAAGCTGACACCACAACAGCGCAAAGGTATCGTTGATGCGCACAATAGTTTTCGCTCCAGTTTAATTAATGGCAGCGAACAAAACAGAGACAACGAAACTATGCCTAGAGGAAAAAATATGCTAAAATTAGTAAACTAATATTTTCATTACTTCAGTATACTTTCATTTTTTGATTCATTGAAAATTTAATTGTAATTATTGAATTCTATAAATTGCGTATACTAAGCTTAAAAACGTGTAATTTGCTTAATTCTGAGTTTTTAAATTCAAACATGGACTCTTAAATGTGCAATCATTCATTTATTCATTCAGACATGGGACTGTAATTTGGAAAAATCCGCGCAGCAATGGGCAGATAATTGCCGATTTAAGCATTCACCAAGACAGTATAGACAGAATGCTGGTGAAAATCTGTACATGTATTCTTCGAAAGTAGATGTCTCAAGTAATATTAATATTTCTATTATAATCAGTAAAAAATATTTATTGTACATAAGTGGAAGTGAAAAAGTGTACAAATAATTTACCATAAATCTGTTTAATTTTAATTTGCATACTGCGTGTGAGAAGAAAAAATTCTTACGCTTATCTGATAAGTAAACAGCTTCAATAAGACAAATCAGAAATAAATGAGCAGAACAGAAATATTGCTCATTTATGGAAAATTATTTTATTCAAATTACTGTATGATAAGAGATGATTTAAAATTACTGTACTATAATTTTGGTTGTGTACTTAACTTTGTGAAAATTAGCAAAGAAAAGTAATTCCTTCTCATAATAAGTCTACAAGTGAAACATACATATATATTCCTTAATGTATATGCAAATTTGAAATCTTAGACAAGGTAGACACAATTGGAGTACAAGCTTCTAATTCATGGTGGTCCGAATTACCAAAATTTTATCATAACAATCCCTCAAATATAATGACAGAGAAGGTATTCAACCAAAGAGTAGGACATTTTACACAGGTACTATTATTCTTGCTTACATAACAAATATAAAATTTGTTGATTCTTGCTTACATAACAAATATATACTAATAATAATTTGTTGATTTCAAATTTCAGATGGCTTGGGGAGCTACTTATAAAATTGGTTGCGGTATTGCTGCACACTGTGAAAGTAAACGACTAATAATTGTTGTATGTCAGTACAAAGTATCGTAAGTTTTAATAGCAATGATTATCGTATCATTAAATCAGCAAATTACTAATGCATTTATAAATTAATGCTTATTTTGTTCATTTATTTCTTACAAAGTTAATCAAGCTAAGCCTAATCATTTTATCGTATTATAAAATGTTATTTAATCATTTTTTCAGTGGAAATATGATTGATAGTAAAATTTATGAGATTGGTGATCCATGCAAGAAAGACAGTGATTGCGATACGAAGAAATGTTCAGCAGCAGATGGCTTGTGCATCAAAGAATGATAAATATTTTCAGGGAACTATTAAATTGGAATTTTACTGAGTTTAACTTTATCTTGATCTATGGTAATGTAGAATAATGGTGTACTTCAATTATTTGCTTGATTTTTTTAAAATATTTTTAATTGATTAATAAAGGCACTTATTGGTTATTGCGATATTAAAGATATTAAAAAAAATAACATTACTTATTTGAAAAGAAAGAAACAAGCAAGAATTAATTTGTTTGATCCCTGTAGTGACCCTGCAAATTAACTTAATTTTTATCTGTGAAATGTGCTTTTGTCGACTGATAGAAATCAGAAATAGTTTGTAACATAGAATGATAAGGTTTGATAAGGTTTCAAAAACTTCTGAAGGCAATGTTAGTTACAACCGACGGGAAATCTAGAATCATGCAAAATTTGATATATCAGTACTGATGTAGTTGTAAAGTGATCTTCAGTGAGTTAAAAAAAAATTATTTTAGACGCAGAAACTAAAATTATACGTAAACTTGTAACTTGCATGTTATGAATGAAGCTGCATGATATCTGAATATAAATTTTTGCATTATACAAAGTTACGTAGTTTTGCTCATCAACTTTTAGAAATAATATTTGCGTTAAATTTACGTTTAAACTCTTCCTAACACACCAAGTAGTTCAAATTAATTTTCATGCATGATCAATTTACGCGTTCTGAACTAAATTTTTACGCAAAGTAGACATAACGTGAAAAACGAAATAAACATTATAAAATATTGAATCACTGTTAAATTAATATGAAATGAGCTAAAAATCATTACAAAATGTGAAAATATGAAAATCGTTCATTACTTTGCATTTTTTAGCACGCTAAGCTTAGCATGATAAGTTTTTTTCTTCTGTCCTATTACAAAAAAGTGCTATGTGGATTGCTAATATATCGGTTGAATTTTTTACGAGGTTGTACCTAACCTTTAGAAAGTGTACGATGATTGCTAAGTACGTGTTTTGACGTCTTCTCCCGCTTAAAAATTAATTAGGTAAGAGTTTCACAGCAAAAACAAACAAAAACCGTTTTGTGTATTAACTAATAATAGATTCATTTTGTGATATTTTTCAGAAGCAGAATAAATCCTTCATAATTTTTTTGCAATCTTTTCTGTGCAACTTCAAAGTAATGCTAAAATATATCATATCGACCAATTTTTCTCAAGAATTTATGCTAAAAAAAGAAAAAATTTTGATCTTACTACTTTCAAGGTCATGAGGTCATCTTATTACTGCTCTCTCCATTCGAAACTATCTTTAGTATTATTTAGATCACAGAAATTTGTTACATTTTATTCTATTGATTCCGAATTCGTTATAAGGATACTCCATAATATTTTGAAAAATTATTTAATCCGAACTTAAAATTTAAATAAATTCATATATTTTGTAAAGTTTTCAGAATATTTAATTATTACTGCTTAAGATAATTAAGTGTTTTTCAAAGTTTTTGTACTAAAAGCACATTTATTCCTTACTTACTTATCAGAATTATTAATTATATATTTATAAGTGAAATCAAATACTATCAAATAAAAAAGCTAAAGAAATTTTCGAATTTTTTCAAACTTTTAGAAAAAAATACCAAAAAAAAAACTTTAGTCCGTAGAAAAATTAGCATTTTATGATACACATAAATCTTATTTTAAGGTTTTTTTCGTATATATGGTCACAAATTTTGTATATTTATGGCAAATTTATAATGTTATGGCTACAATCAGAAAAGAATGTATTATTTTCTTAAAAATAAAATAAAGCATTATTATTTATGACTATATATTATTAATTTTGTTTTTTATTATTTTATTAACAACTTTGCTTATAATTAAATCAACATTAATAGCATATATTTGTATGATATTCTGACTTAGTTTTGTTCTTGAAGCAGTTTTTGTTGTATATTACACAATTTGAAATTATATAATTCTCACGCAGTAATTTTTCAAAATATTTCAACAACAGAAGCAAAAAAACTATCTTAACAGTAAATTTAAATAATTTAAATAATTTGCATAAATAGTTATTCAAATTTTGTTTTGATGGATTGAACAGTCTCTCTGCCAAAGCGTATTCATCAGATATAATTCAATATGACTGTATGTTTACTTGTAAAATATAATCAACGTATCTATTTTATGTTAAACTTTGCTTACTCTTATTAAAAATGGATTTGGAGGACAACAATAACTTTTAGTGGGATAATTAAACTGACTCGATAAAGTAACTCTAACTTTTGGCTGAGCAACAAGAGTTAGCCAACTTCGATTTGGACAGTAACTTTACAGTATTTTGAAAGAATCCCATATTATGAGAAATCAAATTGATATACGATATTGGCAAATAGAAATTAAATTTTTAATACAATTTAGTTTTTATGCTGAATTTGTGCATTTTCGATTAATAATTCGATTATGTTGATATTAAATGTAAAAACCTTTAGTATGCTTGCTCATATTTTCGTTAATCTTGATCTTAAAACAAATTGTACAAGATTATAAAATACAAAAGAAACCATTACTTATAATGAACTGAGATAATCTTATTTGTAATTGCATGTAAGACATAATATTCGAGCAGATATATTCACTTTTCTAAGAACAAGCAATACTGTACTCACGTAAAATCCTTGATGACGATAAATATTACAAAAAATAAATCAAAAATATAATTATTTCTCGTCAATAACAAACTCTAAATCTGTCGAAGCCAAATATACTTTTTGTGTAATACCTTATAAGCTTGATCAAATTAGAATTTTTCCTATTACTGCTCATTTTGTATTGCAAAATTACATTAATAATAAGATAAAAAGTTTTTAAATATCATGTGAAAATAATTGGTTTGCTTTTTTACATTAATTGGCAACGAAATAAAAATTGCGAGTTGCTAAAAAATGTTAATCTCAAATCTATATGTTTATTTATCAATACTTCTAATTTTATATGCTTTAGGTTAGAAGTAAAATAGTTATTGAATAAGCAACACTAAAGCACTCAGTTTGCTATGCTTGAAGTGATTATGAGTAAAATGAGTGAAAGTTATGTTTATTATACTTATAATCAAAACTTAATAAAAGCTAGATCCAACTATCATTTAATACAAAGATCATACTCATGTCTTACTCTGAAATGACATTGGCATGTGCAACTTATTTAATGCGCAATTTAATTCAGCTTAATACTGATTCAATTGCTAAAATTCAAAAGAAGACTGAGTTACTCAAAAACTAACAAAGTACTGAAAAACTGCTTTTACTAAAACTTTTACAGAATAAAAACTTAATTCTTTGTACACTTTATTATAGAAATATATTCATAATAATTATTTAAATTGCTGCTTTAATGGAATTGAAATAAATCTGACATATTATGACTTTTATTGCTTAAACACAAAAAATAATAACGGATAAATTTAAACTCCAAAATTTAATAATCTACGCAGCATATTAGTACAATATATGAGAAACTGTACAAGACTGCTAAATACAAATAAATTTTTTGCATGGTAATTTGTGGTAAAGCAATTTTTAAAATAATTAAAATGCTTAGACGGAAAAAAAATTTTATGCATTTTCGGTAACTTATCTGTACATATAACTTTATGTATCAACGAGATATAAGTCATAAGAACTGTCTCAAAAGAATTTTCAAGCATTTGTACACAAGAAAATTACTGTAAAAAAGTAACAGTGATAAATAATAACTATGAAAAAAAGAAATAATATGAAATGTTCAAGCATTAAATTAATCCACTTCATTAACTAACTCATTAAAAGTATCATTTATAACTTAAAATAGTAAAAAATAAAAATATTACTTTAAACTAAAAGTAATAAAAAATTATATATTAATACTACTTGTTATTTATAACAATAAAAAATCTAGAACTTGACACATTTAGCACATACTCTGCAAGATTTATTCTATTCAGCCATTGACGCCAATTTAATATAAAATTGGCTGAATTAAATTTGTCATCCAAATATTGAAAAAATGCCAAAATAAAAATAGTATTTAATATTTGGCGAAAAACCATGAATAAATGAATGTGAAAAAGAAATGATATAATGAAAAAGTTATTCGTTGGGATATGTAATTATAACTTGTTAACAATTTTCAATTTTACTTATTTGTGTGGCAATTTTATTTTCAAATTTGTTTGTTTACTTAAAAAATAACGACACTTCAGAATATTATTATAATTCAAAAATTCTGAAGAAAGTAACAAAAGTTTTGTTAAGTCAGAAACTGGCAACAAGACAAGTACTAAAACACAATTGCTTGTAACTTTTAAATTGAAAACTTTTCCAAATTTTGAAATTTAAAAATACTCTAATTTGAAATTAAAATTTTTTCTTTCACAGAAAGCAAGTTTTATTTTTTAGCTATAGATTTGTTATAAATTACTGATGAAAAGATACCATTGTGTCTTATCAATAATGACAGTTATTTAGAGATTTATGAATACCTTTCAAAATATGCATAATTTAAAATTATTTGATTAAATGTTTTTGCACAAAAAAGAGCTGAGTAAAGCTAGCGTAATTTTGTAAAACATTTTCAATGTTAATTTAATTTATGTGAGACAATTACATTGAATTTGCATTTTTTAATTCCTAAAATTCATTCCTAAAATTTATAACAGCGTAATAAATTTCATGAATTATCTTTTCTGGAAAACTTCGAGTGTAATTTTACTTGCCTATATGAAAATGTTTTTAGTCCCAATTGATATATCCCTTCAAAATTTGTTTGTGAAGAATGGTACTTGAAGAGTTTTCATATCAATCATTTTCATTTTGATGCGAAACCGAAAAAAAGTATTATTTATTCATAATTTATAATAATTGTTGAAACTCTGACATTAAATTAGAACAATTCAAAACTGTAGAACACCGTGAGTTGATAAAAAACTTCACATTTATTACATATTCATTGTACTTGAATGATAGAAAGATCTTTCTGAAGCTGAGATTAGAATCCTCTTCAT